AATCTACTAACAGCGATCACGACCCTAAGTTACAGAGCGAGCTGTGGGTTAAGAAACCGTAGAGATGAAATATCGGCAGCATGTGAAAGATGTTCTGAATGGCTTTGTTGGGAACATTTTATCAACAACGAAACCTGTACTGAATATGTTGACAACGTTTCTTCCGAAAATGAGGAAAATGTACCATCAATTTTGCCCTCCAAAGGTATGAAAGCTAACTTAGAGATTCGCAGAAGATATGCTGTGGATGGAGAACAAAGGGAAGTACCCTTTGATAAAGTGAGAAAGGGCAATAAAAGGAAGATCGCACATGATAAGAGAATAGCGGGAGAAGCTTATATCAATAGCACCTCTGGAATAGCTGTATTGGCTAAAGAAATGAAACATGAAACCTCGTTGTAGTAGTGAAAAATGCAAGAGTAAAGTGTGCAGCATTAGTGATGTACAGGGTGGCCCAAATTCGAGCCTCATCATTGGGATCTCGGTGACCGTAAGAGATACGGGGTCGGTTAAATTATGGCAAAGTTGCACAATTTTATGACCAATAGAGTGCCGTTTTGAAACTAGAAAGATTCCGAATATTTCCGGAGATATTCGGAAAAAACCGAAATTTTGTAAAGTCGTTTTTATTTTTTCCTGAGCTTATTTGAAGAGCAATTTTAAAATAAATGTCACTTCATCATTGTCAGTTTTTTCCCTTTAGAAGATAGTGCTACTAAATTCAAAATTTGACGTTTCGTCTTCAGGCGGCCATCCTCAACTTCCTTTTTTTAAATACGGACCTGGATTTTTTATTTGCGATTTTATCATCTTTGAGCATCCTAAAACCGATATTGTTTATAATTTTTCAATAACACAGTAAAAAAAGCAGGTCCGTATTTAAAAAGAATAAATTGATGATGATTTCAGAGGAACGAAACGTTGGATTTTAAATTTAATACCGGCATCTTGTAGAGAAGGAAAAGTGACAATGAAAATGTAAAATTAGTTTTCCACAATCTTTTCAAATAAAATCTGGAAAAAATTAAAACTATACGAAAAAAACATGAATTTCTCGTTTTTCTTAAATTTTTTCCTGATTCCATTTAAAAACATTTTGAAAAATTAATTTCACATTCCCATTGTCACTTTTTCTTCTCTACAAGATGGAGGTATTAAATTTGAAATCCAACGTTTCGTTCCTCTGGAATCATCATCAATTTATTTTTTTCAAATACGGACCTGCTTTTTTAACCGTGTTATTGAAAAATTATAAACAGTATCGGTTTTAGGATGCCCAAAGATGACAAAATCGAAAATAAAAAATCCAGGTCCGTATTTAAAAAAAGGAAGTTGAGGATGGCCGCATGATGACGATACGTCGAATGTTAAATTTAGTAGCTCCATCTTGTAAAGGGGAAAAAGTGACAATGATGAAGTGACATTTATTTTGAAATTGCTTTTCAAATATGCCCGGGAAAAAATAAAAACGATTTTACAAAATTTCGGTTTTTTCCGAATATCTCCGGAAGTATTCGGAATCTTTCTTGTTTCAAAACGGCATTCTATTGGTCATAAAATTGCGCAACTTTGCCGACCCCGTATCTCTTACGGTTACCGAGATCCCAATGATGAGGCTCGAATTTCGGCCACCCTGTACAAAGGCTGAAAATATTCAACGTTTTTTTATGATATAAAGAGCTTACAGCAACAAAGGGAGAGTTTATTGTACGACACCTACAAATTAAAGCTATCAAGCGGAAGAGGACAAACAGAGAAGTTTCACGTAGGTCGAAGACATTTGAATACCACTTTCCTGAAAGTGAAGGAATGTCCGCAGTTTGTAAAACAATGTTTTCAAACGTGTTGGGAATTTCAGAAAAGACTGGCTATATCTAAGAGAACAGAAGAAGGGATAGTAGAGCCCGACAGACGAGGAGGGCGACATGAAATGTTGAAAGAAAACGATGCAAAAATGAGTGCTTCAGCATTAGAACACATTCAGAAATTTCCTAGAATGGAGTGACATTTTTGTAGGTAGTCTTCTTCACGAGAGTATACTTACACCCTGATTTGACTGTGAAGAAAATGTACTATTTTTACCAAAACGATACTATTGATCAACCACATTGTACTTATCATACATATCGACGGATTTTTAAATCTTTAAATCTTTCCTTTCATCATCCTAAGAAGGATCAATGTACTTTGTGTTTGTCATACGGGCAAGCTGATGAAAAACGAAAGCTGGAACTCGAGGATGCTTATAATAACCATACTGCTGAAAAGATTTGTGTTCGCAGGAAAAAGTAAGAAGCTGCTGCTGTATTTGACCTACAACAGGTCATACAGCTTCCAAAAAGTAAAGAGAGGGCCTTATTTTTTCGTCGCTGCCTCTCTTCAATTAATTTCACAATTTACAATATCGGAAATAAAGAATGCTATTGTTTCTTCTGGGATGCAACTATTAGTAAGCGAGGGGCTAGCGAAATATCAACATGTGTAGCAAGATATCTAAATGAGCTACAATCGAGGGATCAAGAAATCAGGCTATTTGCAGATGGCTGTGGCGGACAAAACCGCAACACTATTGTTTCAGGTATGACGCAATACGTATTTACAAATGCAAAAAAAATGGAAAAAATTATTCTAAGCTACTTTGAAACGAATCATGGTCAGAGCGGGGGCGATTCTGCGCACTGCTCAAGTTCTCATGCCATATCTTTAGCAGGAGATATTTTTATACCTGCTCAACTATCCCCTATTTTAAAACTAGCCAGAAGAGCGATGGATTGAATTGAAAATTTCTTCAATCAGGTATACACAAAGTTTGTAAGAGATTACAATAATACCAGGTGGCGATATTCGCTTAGATCTTAGATGTAGACTGGACAAAGGTCAAAGAAGCTATGGTCAACAAACATCAAAATACGTGCCTTTTTGTAAAAAACAGTCATCTTGCCGAAAATTACTATAATCTCGCTTTGAAAAGAAACGCTTTGGGAGTGATGAACCAACCTTTATTGAAACTTAATGATGGTACCATGAAATTGGATGCAAAAAAATACAATGACCTAGTTCAACTTTGTGGAGGACGAACACCAGTTGTTCCAGATGAACTTTTCCAAACAATTTGTCTAGGTATTATAGTTTTCACCTATACCACTCAGTGTACTTACATATAATATGAATGGATATACTATCCAATTATTTTTAGATTAATATGCACCATATTAGAAGAAAATTTATTCAATTCGATCTCCTATTAAATTTAGTGAATGTCGCTTACGCCAGTATGCGAGATCAGCGACGATGTGGGAACATTTTTTGTTTGTAGGATATGGAATTTTTTCTTATGTGCGATGGATCCTGCGTGTCCAATGACTTAAAAGTACATTTTCCCATCGGTCACGTGATCACTGTTGTGGCGGCAAATTCATGAGCATATCCATGGCGAAAAACAAGTAATTTCCTATTTCTTATTGCTTTCGCTCCAAATTTCATAAACAGCCCTAAAACATCGTTCTAATGACTTTTTTCAAAAAACTGTTTCCGATATAATAATAAATTTTAGTAAAACGTTGGCTATTTGAAAAATGACTTTTCGACCGCAATCCCACCCAACCCTGAAAAATAATTTATGGTGTTTCAATCTATAATAGCCCCAACCTGTATATTTTTCAGAGTTTTTAAGAACGTTTAATTCTATATTATGTGCTTATTGGTTTATATCCAAACAATTTTGGTAGGTACCTAATAAATTTGAAAATTAAGTGACAAGCAAAAAAAAATTGAAGCTCAAAATTAATTTTTTTCAAACTTTGGTTTATACATATAATGCAATATTTTCATGCTTCGCTAACTAGGTATAAATCGTTTCACGAGGGTTCATACTTTTGATATGGAACACGTCACAACTTGAAAAAAAAAGGGTCGTCGTAGATTAATTCATATGACACATTAAACTTTCTTGATAAATTAAAATGAATGACTTCTGGTTTGAGAACCGACGAACGTTTTTGACGTCATTGATTTGTTTTAGTCAATTTCTATTTGTTAAAAAAGAAAGGCAAAAAGTATGAACTCTCGTGAAACAAAGTTTACATAAAAAACGCAATGAAACACGCAGATTCCCTCCCCAGCAACAAAATAACTTCACTTTTCTTTTTGAAAAGGAGGATTTCAAGCACTATAATTATCCTTCTAATTTTTTAAAAGCGAGTTTGCCCCACGCTGGGTTGCAACCTATAATTTGTGGTCTGACAATTAAAGTACCTAATCGGACAGACCGATATGCAGAAGACGTACCTATACTCAGGCCGGTCTGTATATAACCATAGGCCACCAAGACACAAGTTCTTATATTATAAAAGGCAACAGGTAGTTTAAAGCCATCATATAATATTTACTAAAACTATAGGCTAGAAAAAGATATTATTAGAACAAAATCAGACTTATTTTGTCCATATTTTTCAGTTATTTTGTCGTTCTGATGAGAAAAATTAACGATACCCTGCAATTTTCGTGGGGGATTGACATTCGATTTTATTTTTTTCTGCCATTATCTTGCTATGTACTAATTTTATAAAAAATATTTTTCAATGAATAGTTACTTATAACTACGAAATTTTTGTGACGGTTAAAAATAAAAGTTAAATAAGACAGTCTCAACAGAAATCTTACAAGAAACCTAAGTTGCAGCAAAATCTTAGGTACTCAATCATTCAAATTATTATTAAAAATGGTTCCTAAAGAATAATAGCACTTCTGGAATAACAAATGTTTCAAATTAAAATGAAAAAAGACTCTCGGGGAGGCAACCTAATGTCATTCTCGTTTCTCCGAGTATAATCTGCCTGAGAATCATTTAAAAGGAGTTTTTCTTTAAAGAATTAAGTCTTTATTATTAATAACATGTTATTTCTCAAACTTTTTTGGAGTACTTTTCGTCTTATAAACGTTTTTGATATCTTAACTATCTTAGCTAAATTTCAAAATTATATATTATCAAATTTTCTTACCTTTGCCAGAAAACCATCAACATCTTGTATTTCATAACCAAATTTCTGCACTAGCTTACCCCCATTTTTTCTATTATATTTAATCCTATCTTTTTTTCTTTCGCTTCTTAGATTTGGCTCGCTTTTGGTCCGCACTGGCAGTTTTTTCGTCTTGATTCCCTTTTTGTCTTCTTTTGTTTGCCTTTTTATTATTTGACTTCTATTGTTTGTATCCAATGTATCTGACTGATTTATTATTAAATCCTTAGATACAGGTCTTAAATCATTTATCGAGCAGTTTTTCAAACTGATACATTCACTTTTAACATCATCCAAAACACTTTTCAAATTATTTATAGTCCGAATTCCAATAGTATCAAATTGTTTCTGCTTCTTAACGGATTTTTGATATTGAAATTTTATAGGTTCTTCAGGCTTCTGATTATTTTGCTTTTTGGTAAAGCGAAACGATGGTAGTTTTTGATGAAAATAGATACTGCTGGAATTTTTTGATGTTTGCAGGCCCATATCATATGAAATTTGGGGTTTCCCTTACGCCTAAATCCATATTAAAACTAAAAATAAATAATCATAATTGAATACAGTAGGTAATTACTTGTTCCATTAGGAAATTTTATGTGATCAATTCTATGTGGTAACATTATATTTAATATAATATTTTCTACGAATCTAGAATCTAGATAATTATGTTAGACCCCGACCTAGAGCAAATTTATAGAACTTTCTACAAACATCCGTATATACATATAATTCATTGATTATTACCCAGGTCGTAGTGAATTAATTAAGTACATAAATTAAACAGTTCCTTAACCGATGGGTGGTCAGGCAGAATTTTTGAATATTTTCTTGAACGGCCATAATTCAAAGTCAAATTATTGTCACCTACTGCTGCTTTAATTGGCTAATGGCATGCTTCAACCATCATTTAATTAAGTTATTTTATTATTTATATCGCGTAGAGACAGTGATTTAATAACTTTACTCGTTTAGTTTAATGATGTAATTTCGTTTTTTTTTTGTTATTTAACAATCTATAAACTTTTTTGTGTCATCTGGAAAGTAATAACAAAATTTAATTATTATTCAAATGGTCTGGAACTGTGATTTTAGAGACATTTATTCACTTGAGCGATTCAACGCGGTATTTACCCATTTTTGGATTAAGTTCCAGTAAAATTTAAATACGTAATTTGAGCCTTAAATCTTTAACGGGGAACTATTTTTTAAAAAAGATCTGTTAGGTTAAATAAGTTTTTTACCGGCACTTCAAAACTAGACAAATAATGTAAAATAAGCCAGACGATGACGTATTAAAAATAATTCCAATCAAATGTAGAAGCGTACTGCAGCGTCAAGGCGCACATTTCAGAAGTAAAATTACATACCGGTTTCGATATTATCAGCTCTCAGTAAGCGGAAGCATACCAACTCGGAAAAACAGGTTTACAGGAAATTCCAACAAGATAGGAATAAACCTATTATAGGATAGCATCCAATGATTGAGAATTAGGCTATCTCCGTTGTCTTACATGGCAAAACGACTTGTATTGTGTAATCTGGCCGTTACCAGAATCGATACAAATTCATTATATGAGTTATTAGCAAGTGGTTTGATACTTCGATTGAACCCTTGTGTTTTGGAAGCATATCTTGGCTCAATATCTGAGAATATATCAGATAGACATAACATTGAATTTGGTAGGTTCTACAGTTGTACTCATCCTCCTCAGCAACGGTTGAAATTGTTCACCAATAAACTCAACAGTATCAAGCGATGGTAAATACCCATGACTACTTATTCACGAGCTGTCTTATACGTGGTGCTAAATCTTTGGAGAAGGGGATGAAACCTTGATGGAATAGTGTAATTATGAATATAGAAAATTGAGGTAAAAATTCTCTAAATCACAATAATCTAGCAACAAAACTGAAGGATCTAGGTTTATATTGACGGAGTCATCAAGTTAATGCTAGTGAGTCGATATACAGTCAGTCCATACAGTTAATAGTTGAGCACAATTATAGCAATATAGTTTTGTGAACAGTTAAGCCTAACTTCAAGATACGAAGTGTTGTATACTATTGATAGTATTATCGCGATTTTTGTGTTTTGTTTCAAAGAAATTTCAGTTGTTCCAGTTATCTGCGAACCCGGAAATAAAAGACCAAAACTTTGTCTTATAAAAAAAAACTGCAAGGTTCAATAATTATTAGGAAATTCTTCTGCAACTTATTCCGCAACAAATATTCCGGAGGTAAAATACCCGACCACTCGGATCTCCGGGCGTCGGGTGATCCTGGGGGTCCTTCATGCAAAGATATAAAGAGAAGATCAAAAACTCAACTCAGAATTGATTTTAGCAATATAAGAGGAATAAGTACAAATATGAATTCAGTTCACCAACATCTTGAAGAACAAAGACCTGACATCCTTGTTCTCACTGAAACTAAAATCAGTTCTGCAACACCTATTGTGAACTATATTTATCCCGGCTATGACCTACACCACCGATTTCGACATAATTTTGGGATCTGTGTGTACATTAAAAATGACCTTTCATGTCATCGAGAGGAGAAGCTAGAACCAGCGAACCTTGATATCATATGGCTAAAATTCACCTCAAAGTCATCGACCAAGTTTATCTGCTGCCTCTACCGACCGCCATCTAACACCGAGTACCAAAACTTTTTCGCGACATTATCCGAAAGCTGTGATAGTATACAGTCAAACTATCCACAGGCGGAAATTGTCTTTTTAGGCGATTTCAACGTCCACAATATACCCTGGCTGAAACACCACAACAAAACAGATAACGAAGGCAGAGAAGCAGAAGCTTTTGCCATAAGTTGTGGTCTAACGCAGCTTGTCGATGAACCTACCCGTATCTCAGAAAGGGGCGAATTTGCAGCGCTTTTAGACTTGTTCCTAACCACCAATCCTGACTCGTACACAATTCAAGTAGATGCTCCACTTGGTTCGTCCGATCATAAACTGATAATAACAAAGTGCGAAATGCTCATCCCACCAAGCCAACAACCACTTCCTCGTAAAATGTGGCACTATAAATCGGCAAAATGGAATGACCTAAAACAGTTTTACCTGGATTTTCCATGGCAAGAGGTTTGCTTTAAAACAGCTGATCCCACTATTTGCTGTAATGAAATAACACAAGTAATCTTATCTGGAATGGACGCATATATCCCACATACAACTAAACGTAGAGCTAATGCAAAACCTTGGTTCAACAGCCAGTGTCAAACGGCTGTACAGAAAAAACACAGAGCATATAACCTTTGGAAACGACAACAAACCGCTCAAAACCACACAGAATTTATAGAAGCCAGAAATAGTTGCAAAATTACTATTGACTCCGCTAAAGAAACATACAATCAAAGAATAAAAAACAGGTTGCTGAATTGTCCAAGTAGTTCTAGGTCCTTTTGGTCTCTTGCAAAAGCTGTTGGATCTAACTTCACCAAGTCATCCATACCACCACTTACAGATAAAAATAATCACTTAGCCACAACATCAGAGGAAAAAGCCAATATGCTGACCCAAATGTTTTCCTCCAACTCCAACCTAACAGTGCCAAACGGAAAAACTCCACCGTTCATTGAAAGGGTTTCCCATAGTATGCCAGAGGTACCCTTTTGTCACAGAGAAATACGAAAATCCCTTAAAAAGCTAGATACAAACAAAGCAATGGGTCCGGATGGCATTCCCGCAATAGTACTCAAAAATTGCGCCAACGAACTCACCCCAACTTTCGCAAAATTATTCAATTTGTCTTACAGGCAAGGAGTATATCCATCATCATGGAAGTCTGCCGCAGTATAACCCATTCCAAAGAAAGGAAAAAAGACAGATCCGTTAAACTATAGACCAATTGCTCTACTTCCGGTGATATCAAAAGTAATGGAAAGAGTTGTGAACAATCACCTAACCAAGTACTTGGAAAAGTACAAAATTATCAACGATAAGCAATACGGATTTCGAAAATATAGGTCAACTGGCGATTTACTTACATACGTCACTCACTTATGGCAAAAAGCGATTGAGTTGCGGGGTGAAACAAGAACAATTGCCTTAGATATATCTAAAGCATTCGACAAAGTTTGGCATGAAAATCTGCTCAACAAGCTCAAAGCAATGGGATTATCGCCGAAACTTTGCACTTGGTTTGAAAGTTACCTAAAGGACAGATCCATTTATGTTGCACTGGATGGCCAGAACTCCAACTCTTACCAAATAAATGCTGGTGTGCCACAGGGAGCAATCCTTTCGCCAACTCTTTTTCTGATTTACATAAATGACCTCATAGATAAAACAGTAAATCCAGTTTATTGCTTTGCAGACGATGGCAATATAGTCTCCTCACTCATACCACCCACAGGTCTTTCCGCACGAGAATTCCATCATCTTAGACTAACTCAAATATCGCAGATAAATAACGACCTGGAGATAATAGAGGACTGGGGTAACAAAAACCTTGTACAGTTCAACGCGCAGAATACCCAAGCAGCTCTGTTTTCAAAAAAGACCAGCACCGGTGAGCCAAACATCATGCTATCTGGAAGTGCTGTCACATTACAGAGTCAGTTGAACATCTTGGGGGTCTACAAAGCCCAGATTCGACCAACTATGGAGTACTGCTCACATATATGGAGTGCAGCACCCAAACATACCTTAATGCTTTTGAACACCGTGCAAAAACGAGCTATCAAGCTGATCAATGACCCCGCACTTACTCGTAACTTGGATGGTCTCGAACATCGCAGATCTGTGGGCGATTTATCTCTCTTCTACAGGTACTATCACGGAAAATGCTCTGAAGAGTTGGCACGTATGATTCCACCGAGAGTAGCGCCTACCAGGCGAACCCGTCAAACAGACGGTAACCATGAATTTACTGTCAAACTAGAGGCACCAAGAACCTCATTATATCAGAATTCATATCTCTGGAGAACAGCATCGCTGTGGAATAAACTCCCTGCGACGGTTTTCCCTGCAGCTTACAACCTGAACCGTTTCAAGACCAACATACACCGACATTTCCGCGCACTTGCCGCTTCTCGAGCGTGATAGGACATTTCCTTGCGAGTGCGCATATCCGTAAAAAAAAAAAAAAAAAAAAAACTTGACACTAAAAAATCTTGTGGTCCCTCAGGCA